GTATGTGGTTTGCATGCAGATTTCAGCCACTGGAGAGCTGGGCAGGACTGCCTCATTGCACCATGCTCTGCACCAAGGTCTACATGTACACTTTGGCCCACAGCTGACTTTTTTTGGAAGTATTTCAAACCTATTCAAGTAGTCTTCTGATGGGGTTTTCAAGTGTCTAAGGCCACTGACAGATGTGAACTTTCCCCCCGCACCCTAAAAAATGGCACTTTCCCAGAAGAGGAAGTGCTCCAGTTTGACTTGTCTCCCCGCGGGGCTGAAATGCACAATCTATACAGATGTTGGGCAAGCTGGGTCAAATTAATGTGATGCCTCTTCTGGGCATATACTGTGCTCGGTGTGGGGGCACACCAAGTAGAAAGTAAAGCACTATTTTGTTTTGTTTTTCATATCTGTAAGTAGCCTAAATGTCTAATTCCATTCCTGAATTATTGACACTAAATATGATTTTTAAATCTGTTCCTTAGGCATCTTGGAATCAATATATAAATGGGACTTAGATCCATTTGAATACTGGGAGTGTCTATACATGACCCTGACTGCACAGTTGATTCTGCACAGTCATGTAGTACTTGCTTTAGCAATTACTAAATGACTGCGCAGTACCTGCTGGTACTATGCAGTCCCAGCAGTGCATGGGTCATTTCTGACCCTAGCAGCGACAAGCTACAGCAGTGTAGCTCATTGCTACAGTGACGTAACAGCGGCATCATGGTTAGTATGTAAAATCCAAACCATGTCTGGATCCAACCATTCAGACATACCCAGGAAATCCTTCATAAACAGAACAAATCTTCTAGGGGAATATAGCTTAGGGGGAGGTAGACAAACTAGAGGGCAGGGAGCAAATCCAGGCTGATTTGGACAGGCTGGGAAAGCAGGCGGAACAGAATAGGATGCAGTTTAACACAGATAAGTGGCATGTGTTGCATGTGGGGAAGAAGAATCATCAACACTCCTATAGCCTGGCAGGTACCACTCTAAGTAGCACAACTGCAGAAAGGGATCTCGGAGTCATAGTCAACTCCAGAATGAACGTGAGTCACCAATGTGATGACATAATAAGTAAAGCTAACCGCACTCTTTCTTGCATAAGTAGTTGCATCACAAACAGGTCCAAGGAGGTGATTCTTCCTCTCTATGCGGCACTGGTCATGCCACAGGTGGAGTACTGCATCCAGGGTTGGGTTCTGCACTTCAGAAGGGATGTAGATAACCTGGAAAGCGTTCAGAGGAAGGTCACCCATCTGGTTAAAGGCCTACAGGAAAAACCCTAAAATGACTGATTGAGGGACCTGAATCTCTTCAGCCTCTGCAAGAGAAGGCTGAGAGGTGATCTTGTGGCTGTCTACAAATTCATTGGGCGGACAGCAGGAAATAAGGGATATGATGTTTACCAAGATGCCCATCAGGGTAACTAGAAACAATGGCCACAAACTGAAGGAGAGCAAATTTAGATTGGATAGCAGGAAAAAATTCTTTACAGTGAGAGTTGCCAAAATATGGAATATGCTTCCAAGGGAGGTGGTGCTCTCCCCTTCCTTGGAGGTATTTAAAAGGAGATTGGACAAATGCCTGGCTGGGGTCATCTGACCCAGCACACTTTCCTGCCCGGGGCAGGGGGTTGAACATGATGATCTAATAGGTTTCTTCTGATCCATGAATCTATGAATATAGCTCAGCTCTTTCTCCAGCTCTTTATCACCACAACCTAGAGTGAAGCAAAACTTAACACTTTCAGTCTTTGAAGGAACTAATGTGATTTCTTACCAGCGAGGGAGAAGGGAAGGAGGGATATATTTTCACAGGAAAAAATGGAAATTGTGGAACAAGACTTCAGAATCAGAGGGGTTGATTTGGAAGACATTTTGAAATAAACGGCCCTCTGAAGAGTAAGAAACAGGTACAGCCCACTGGTTTCCTCCCCTGTTCATCCTTCTGTCATCTATAAGAATACACTTCGGGAGAATCTTGGAAGGCAAGAAAATCTATCCTGTGAAGATCTGAGAGAGTCTGCAGTGAACATTCAGTAACTCTGAACCATAGACTGTGCTGCTGATCACACTGACTGTGAATCAGTGAATTTTTATTTTAAAAAATGTTGTAAATATACACTCTGGTCTTTCACCAGCATGTGACAATGAGTTGTTCACAGTGCAGCTCAGTCTATTAAGGGCGCACAAAAGACATCATTTTCAACCCGCTGAATGCATAAGGGAAGTGGAAGTTCATGTTGTCAATTGCCATGCTATTAATAATTAGTAACATCTGTGCCTGATTATGCATAACTTTTTGTTGTGATGGAAAGAGCATACTAAATATGTTCGGTGTAACAGAGAAAATCTGCTCCCATTTGTCACTGTGCAGAGGTCAGCAAAGATGGGTGACAACTGTAATCAGTGGAACTTTCTACCACCTCCGCGCCAAACCCACAGTATCCATTTGCACAAGACCTATCAGAGAGCAAAGACAATGCTGCTCAAACTCAGATACTCTTACTCTCTGAGTATGTCTAGCACTGAAAAAAACCCCTCTGGAAAATTCATTGCACTAGAACAGTGGTCTACTACCTTTTAAAGTACCAGATCAGTTTTTGAATTAAAGTGCCAACCAGGATCACCTGCATGCCACTCCCCCTCACTCTGCCCCGCCCAGCAGTTCAGTCTGGGGGAGGGAAGGGGGTGGGGTGGCACGTGATAGATCCTGGATTGCATTTTAATTCAAAAACTGACCTGGTACTTATAAAGGGAGGGTATGGGGCAGAGGCAGAGATGGGGCAGGGGCTGAGGTGAGTGAGGCCCTGGCTCTGCCAGGTGATGGGATGATTGGAGTCGGAGCAGCTTGTCCAAGTGCAGGAGGGCTCCTGCCACTGCATGCACCCCAGCAGAGGTCCAGGGGACACATGCCCCCCCCAGTCTGTGTGCAGAGCAGAAGTGGCTGCTGCTACATGCTGGGCTTTGCACCCTGAGCCCCACTGCAGCTGCCCAGGAGCACCAGGACACCATGTGCATCCCACTGATGGCCTGAGCCTCACCCCCTGCTTGCCTGGTGGTGGGACACACGTGGCATTGCTGCGCTCCTGGGAAAGCTGCAGCGGGGCTCGGGGCACAAACCCCAGTGCACAGCAGCAACTGCCTCTGCTCTACGCACAAATCCGGGGGGCCATGTGCCCCCCAGGCCTCTGCTAGGTTGTGTGCAGTGGCAGGAGCCCCCCCCCATGCCTGAACAAGCCACCCAGGCTTCAGCTGGTAACTGAATCAAATCAGCTACCAAAGCTTCACACAGCCCTAGATGAGATTGCCAACATGTAATCTTGTGAAGGGAATCTCAGACCCTGTGCAAGTGATGAAGTAAATAGTTTGAAGTTATATTGGAATTGGGGCACTGAAATCCATCTGCTCCCTGATGCAGACAGCTTCTATACAGGACAGAATTTAGCCCATGATCTGTTACAGTGGTTTTCAAACTGGGTTCTGTGAAACCCCGGGGTTCCATGATAGGTTATCAGATGTTCTACAAAGAGACTGGGGGTTATGGCAGAGCAGGCCGGGGGGCAGTGTGCTGCCATTGCTAGACCAGGTCACCTGGCTCCATGTCAGCTCACATGAGCCGCAGAGCTAGGGGTAGGGGTTCCACAACAGAAGGGATATGAAAGGGTTCTGTAACTTTAAGATGCTTGAAAACCACTGAACTATTATAATCACAATGAGTTCACCTATGGATTGGATCTTAAATGTGCCAGTACAGGTCAAACCTTAGTTTGTTGTCAAAGTAACATGTTGTGCAGTCATTTTTCTTGGATAAGGTGTAGACTAAAGAGGGTTGTGCCTTACCTTGACAGCAATCAACTTTACCCCAAAATGATTATTTTCCTGTTTCTTAGGTCAGGGAGCTTAGGAAATGGGCTAAGGATAAGCAGGCCCTGAAAATATCAGTGCAGCTTGAAGAATAGCTGCTGCTCTACTGAGTTGCCAGCACACAGACATTACACACAAACCCGTCTAAGTGATCGGAAATACATCAGTAAAAAATGAAAAGCAAAAACAAATAGCAAACCACTTTAGCAATGATTCATTAAAATGTAATGCAGTCTTTTCAGATCATGATTTGTGGGTATGTAAAAATAGCAGTTAGACTGAAGACATATTTAACAAGATTGTAGTGTTAGAGAAAGATGTGATATAATTTGGGAACTATTAAATCTAATTTTGATTCATTTCCGGATGAAGCAAAAATATAATATTCTACAAAAGTTGTTTCCATTAATTATGCTTTTAATCAAAAGAAATACCTTTCACATGTATTTCAGCTTTACACTGTTGAGCAGAAGAAGTCATTAAAACGTAATCTGTTGGATTGTGTGGGAAGGAGACAGAGAGAGTTTATGCTCTTCAGTTATGGTTTAATTTACAGGGGCATTTGTACTACTGGGATTATGTCAAGAAAATTCAAGAGTAAGCCCTAGATAAAAACTCTACTCCTCCCCTCTAGCTATGACAGATCAATTCTAGAGATAGTTTTCTGTAATATCTTGTTAAAATGAAATATAGGAAGAAGGGCTATTTTATGAAGTGCCTGTCGAGTCACAGAGAGCACTGTGTTAAGAAACTTTCACACTTTGCCTTCAATTCTATTATTTTGGCTAGTATTATTTCATATCAACTACAAATGTATAAAAAGGATCACCCCTTCGTTCCTCACTCTATGTAAACTTTGATGAAATGTCAATTGTCTTTCTGCTCTCACCAGCTCTACTAACCTATGAGGCAGTTGGGAAGCTGGAATCATAAATAAACTCTGGGTATGTCACATTTTTCTGCCTAGAACAATTACACTACGGGGACCCCTGAAATGACATAAGCATGCGTAACAGTTTATTTTCCCTGTAACATGTACTGTACAATTCTCAAAGTGTTTATCTATGGAGCATGGGAGGAGAGAGAATATTCAAAATCCCTAGCTGGAAACTAAAAATGGGGGACATCTATTACCTTGGATAAACTCGAACTTCCTGCTTACAGAAGGCAAGGTCCGGTTCAGCCCCAGGATCCTATCCAAATGGAAGGCAAACACCTCACTCATGTCCAGGGGGATTTTGATGAGGCCACACTGTCCTTGACTACAAGCTGCTCCTGAAGCCCTGGGATTTCTTTCAAACACGGCCAAAATCCCATGTTGAGAAGGTGCTTCTTGGATACCCTCTATCCGGGAATCGGCCATCGCACGCATGCTTTTGATGTCATCTCTTGTCAGCCAAGAGGGGGAACTCTCACTGTAGATCCTGATATTACTTTCTCGAGTTTGGGGCTGCACATTGACGTTTTTTGAAATCCCTACATGTCTCCAGTGTTCCTGACGCCTTATTGACAACTCTTTCTTTCTATCTCTGTCCTCCATCAGGTGGCTCTTCCATGTGTCTGGAGGAGCAACTGCAGCCATAATCCCCACAGCTTGACTCATCCTCTCCCGTCGTTGGAGCAAGGTTTCTTTCTGCCCAGCAGCAGCTCCTGGAAGGCCCTGCCCATACGGCAGAGGTACTGTATGCTTCTTTCTGCGTTTGGGCTTCACAGTACCTCGGATGTTGGCAGGTTTACTGCGCTTGGACCTCAGGGTAATGTACACCACATTGGCTGGCACTGAGGTCCCATTTTCACCAATCTGGAGATCAGGTGGGGACAAGGTACCATCCAGAGGGATGCCCAGGAATGGTGTCTGGGCAACACCTTGAAGACTCTTAGAATCACCCTTCCGGCGTCCCGCTTTGTGCTGGGGTAAAACATGACCCACTTGACTCACCAGGAACCCCAGATAAATCACACACGCTGTGCCCAGCAATAGATTCCTCCTGGTCCTGGGGCGCCTGCAACTCCAAAACCTCAGCACCCATGGGGCACACAGCGAGCAAACAAACCAGTTTATGATCTGGCCTGGTCGATCTAAGAAGGTCATTTCTCCAGTGAATCCACATGATGAAAGCAGTTTAAAGGGCTTGGGATTTTCCAGTCAGGATGATGATGATGCATGATTTCCCTTCCCAGATCTCTAGTTCTTCTTTTCCCAGTGTATACAGTGGACGAATACTAGCTGTGTGGCTGGGAATGTGAATGCTTAGCATTAAAGATACTGACGCCACCTCAACAAGCTGTTAAACACTTATCAGCCACCACAAGGGAAGAGATTGGTTTGAGGGAATGAATGGAGTCAGCTGTGTACACAGAGTTAACTGTGTCAGGGTGCAAAATGCCTCAGAGTCTCCTCTGCAAACCGTGAAAGGAAAAGAATAGCGAATAGTTATTTCATTATCCACAACAACAAATAATGTGGGGGGGGGGGAGAAATATTTATATAAAGGGAGGGATAAACTATAAATCTGTAAGAGAAGATATAAATCTAGAGATGTGTCATACTACAGATTTCAAATTCAAATAAAACCCAACACTATGCATTACATTACAATTTACAATCTAGGGTAAAGAAGCTCCAGAAGTAGGAGAAAACCTTGGTAAGACTAAACTTTCTTTTCATTCTTATGACAGTCCTCACTAACTCGCATCTTTTGTTGCCTTCTTAGTTTAAAAATATATTACATTAACTGGCCCAGTAATCACAGCAGTCCACATATGCACATTTCTTAATATGCAGGTTTCCTTGCCTAGTTTGATCAGTATAATCTTAATACAGTTCAACTGTTTGATAACCTTATACTAAAAGATAAATACATTAATTATTCTGCACCTATTTCTGAAGTCATAAAATAAGTTCTCACTAATAACTGTTCATTTTCTAAACAAAATGACAGTGCTTCACCTCACCTCCCAAACACAATATAATGAACATTGTACCCTTTCTTTATTGCTCTAGAAAGATATAGAAATAGTCTTACCCATTCAGCTTGCCCCATTCTTTCTTCTGGCAAATCCCTTATGTTAATACAAAGAACTTAGTAAAAGCTGCAGCATTTACAGTTCTCTGGTACATAGTCTGTTTTTAAGTATGCTTCATATTTTCGATATTTCATTACAAGTTTAGCTCTCTCTGAAAATGAACTAACTGCCCAGCATGGCTGTTTGTAGATGAACAGCTATAAACTTACATGAACCTTACGTTATAAAAAACACTTCTATTTTCAATTCTGTCCTGAAAGTCCTGTGAACTATATGCCTTCTAAAAAGTATATTCCCGCAGTGTCTTCCGCCCTCTAGTGTATTACATGCAAATATGCTGAAGAAATCCCACTTCTCCACAGTAAAATGAGAACTTGGGATTTCATGACAGTTCAAAATCATACAGTCTTGTATCAAAAATAGGGTACATGGCTTTTAAAATCTATGAAGAAACAAATTAAGTTGTAGATATATCGTGCTTGTCCTTCACAGTTCTAAAATGCTGCATAACATCAGCTTCACTTCATAGGTAGGAAATGTGTGGCTCAGGGTTGAACACGTTCAACAGTGGCAGAGCCAGGACTTTTGGCTCTAGTCTGGTGTCCTAGCATATGCCCAAGCAGATACAATTAATTTTTTTATATAGAAATAACAAGACTTATTCATTCCACAGGCATTCCCATTTTTCTTATAGCACTGAAGGAATCCTTGTTCTCATTATTACTGAAAACAAAAAAGCACCCACATTGAAACATACGTTTTAGATAATTTCCAATAAGAATTTTAAAAATATCATATGGCTAGACATAGTTCCTTTTCAAAATAACCTGGACATAGTTGTATTTCTTTGTGCATGTTGTCTAAAAGTTCTATCACCGAGCCAGGAATTCCATATACCAAACATTTTCCACTAAAACAATGTTCCTATGAACAGTTTCTTCCAAAACTCATCTTTCTGTGTACCTTGGAGGGGGGAAAGTGGTTTGTGGTGGGAAAGAGCATTCTCTGTCACTTCAAGCTTTCCTTTCTTTTTTCTAATTCAAGTTTGATTGAAAAAAAAACAAAGGACATTATTCACAGTATTTGAATTTGTTCACACAAGCACTGAGGCGCATTAACAACTTTATTAAACCATATGTATTTGGTATATGTGGTATATTTGGATAAGGCTCACTGCTTGAGAAACTTATTTCATTTTTTCCACTTAAAAAGGTTCAGAGGGACAGCTGCCAAATGTGGAAGCCCTTATAGTGTGATTCACTATGAGGAGCACAGAGGAGCAAATGTGGAGCAGCTGCAGCTGGAGGTACACCACTTGGGATCCCTCTGAAAAGGTGAATGTTCATCTAACTGGAAGTGCCAGGTTTCCAAGCCATGGTACCAAAAGAAGCACAAATGATGCCTCCAGAGACTCAGATCCTGTATGTCATTTTACAGGAGTGCAAAGTAAGTGCAAAATGAGCAACAACACACAGGGAAAAGCCACAAGAATAAGGGCCCCTGAGTACTGCAAATTTGTAAACAAGAGCACAGTTAGGTTCACCACCAAATATATTCATGACAAGATAATGTTTTGAAGTAGCTCATAATGGATCTTATATTTCTGGAAAAACTGTATAAGATATAAAAAGCATAATTTAATTACACTGAGAAAAGATTCTGTGCCAAGTTACAGAGAACTTTGACAGTACACAGTTCAGGAAGACATTTGTCCTACTGAATTTATTTTGATTATTTTAGAAGTGTCTGTAGTTTTATGCTTTATATTGCTTGTGACACAATCTGGCTTGACTTCTGTAACTATGCTGTCACAGCTATTATATAAAGTACAGTTGCTGCATGTTGGGAATAACATTACCTGCCAGAGACATTCCAATAGTGTCAAAACATATTTAGTTTTCATTACTGATAGTTTTCTTTCACTGAAGGCTTTTCAGTCCTTTTAAATGTTAACCTATACAACCCTACTTCTACAATTCCTCAGAAGATTATGTATGATTCAGAGCACTGGTTTTCACTCCCTACTTATGTGTAGGAAGAGCCCATGTAATTACTGGTGATGTTCCACAGATAATATAGAGAGCATAGCTGAGATTCTTTTTTTTTTGTCTTGAGGCTCTTTTGATATTGTGTGTGTGTGTGTGTGTGTGCGCGCGCGCGCGCGCATGTGTGTGTGTGTGCGTGTGTGAATAATAACTATATATTATATATAAATACACACACTTGCATTATTTTTTGTGCTCCAAGACTATCAGTCTTCCTTGAAATGTGGTCTGGTTAATTTCTTAGGATTGGAAAGATGCTAAGATCCTGAACAATTGTTGTCATAAGTATTTCTTGACATTTTTTTCAAGAGTAGGACCATTAACCCTACTTTCTGGCCAAAAATTACAATTTTAATTATTGCACTTCCTCCTAAAATCTTTCTACAATTTAAATTAGATTCTGGATTCCTCTTTACTGCCTGTCCTAACCTATTCTCTAGTATTGCCAATGGTAGAGTCAATTTCCTTTCATTACAGTCATTGCCTTCCACAAATCTTTTCATTGGCTTCCTTTCACTTACTTCATCAAATTCAGGTCCCTTATCTATACATTCAAGGACTCTAAGAACTGACATCATCTCCTTTTCTACCTTACACATACATGCTTTCAGCTTGCTGCTCCATGGTCACTGCTGCCCCTTCCTTATTGTAGGGATCCAGAAATACCACCATTAGTATGGCACAGCGGGTAGGAGGCGGGAAGAAGAATTTAAGAAGCGTTGTCTAGCCTTTTTTGTTTGCCTGGAAAATGTAAAATAATGGCTAGTAAAAAGGGTTTTCTCCCCCACCTTTTGATTAACAACCATCTGTATCTCAGTATTTGGAGAAAGACTAGATCACTGTGTGGGCATGGAAGACAGTGCCATCCAGGCTGCTACTGGCAGCGCTAGGAAAAGTATAGACTCCCTGCCAGCTGGTGGCCTGTACTGGAGCCAACTAGGCAGTCAACCTGAGCTCTGGCCAAAATGTTGACAGTTAAAATAGCATGGCCTTCTGTAGCAGATTAGTGGATTGCTCAGGGGATGAAGAATAACTATCCCCTGTGCTCTGAAGAATAACTATCCCCTGTGCTCTGACTCAAGCTCTGATATGGACTCAGATGAAAAGAGTGAAGTTACTTAATCTTCCTGCTTTGTTTTGAAAACTCTAAAACAGGGACAATAATAATTATCTTCCTCACAAGGGAGTTGCAGTTCACCAAAATGCACACAAAACTCTCAGCGCATGTAGCCCATGTTTGGAACCGCCTCCCACATCCTGTCTTCCCAGCCAGACTTTCCATTCCTTCATGTCCCATTCCCCACTTTCCAAAACCCAAGAATACCTCCTCCTCTTCCTCCTCCTCCATCTCTCTCTTTATGCCCCCCTTTTTACAGCGGTTGCCCTAGGTCCTCTCTCGCTTTTTTTTTTTTTGGTCTTCACTAGAGTATAAGCTTTTGGAGCACAGACTGTTTCTTGCTTCATGTTTTTAAAGAAGGTAAATGTACAGCACAAGAGATACCATTTATAACAACACAGCACTAGTATTACTCTTAATCTGAAAAACTGCTTTAATAGTTGCTATCTCTTCACCCTTGGAGCATGTTATTACTGCTTGTGATACTCTCATAAATTTGAAAAGGCCCACACCAATTTGATCATTTTTCCTTATAGCAAATGTTGTGTTCCCTTTTCTGCACATCAGTAGTATAGCTTATGCAGGGAGAGGGGGTACCAGTCCCCAGTGCCAAGTTTGGGGTGGGGAGGGATAAAAATATAGCAGGCTCTGGGTGCATCTATTCATGATGCATCACCGTTACAACACGCTACAGTGACATAGAGTTGGTGGTCACAAACTGTGATGCCCCAGCTACATCACCGTAGCAACATGCCCCCATGTTATAGTGCATTGCTATGGAAATGTAGCAGCTAAAAATAACTGTGGCAGGCTGGCCAGGGGGCTCACCAGCAGCTCAGATTGTTAACTTGAGCCCAAAATAGCTCAGGCCAATTGGTGGAGCATTTCCAGCAATCAGGAGGATGCAGAAGGCAAGCTTGCCCCACCCTGACCCAGGGGCAGGGTGAAGAAGAGGACCTGAGGGAGAACTAATCCCTCAGGACTTCCTATTGGTCCATTTTCAATCTGGGGACAGAGCCTCCAGAAGGGATAAGAGCCTGTGTGCCTAGCACATGGGCTGTCAGCAAAGGACGATGAAGACAGGGGCTTGTGAAGAGCTGATAGAGCTGACTAGCAGGGCAGAGCAGAAGTGCCCAGAAGATGCCACTGCCTAACAGGGAGCAGCAAGTGGCTGTGTCCCCAGCCCCACCACGGAGGAAGCTGCAGGGTCGGTTCCCAGATTGGTACACAGAGGGTATGGGAGCAGACGGGACCTTGGCATCTGTATGGGGCAGCATAGCCCTGCACGACGCAGGAGCCCAGCCCCCTTGGTGCAAAGGGCTGGTGGAGAACTGATGGGACCTCTGCAGCTGCACAAGGCAGTGCGGGTCTTCAACCCTGCACAAGGCAGGATCCCTCAGTGCACATATTGGTGCATGGGGAGGAGAGCTGAACAGAACTGATGGGACACTGGTGGCTGCACAAGGCAGTGTGGGTCCCCAACCCTGCACAAGGCAGGAGCCCTCGGTGCATCGATTGGTGGCTGCACAAGGCAGCATGGGTCCCCATCCCTGCATGAGGCAGGCACGGAGCTGAAAGCAGGCTGGGCTGCTGCATGAGGCAGCTCAGGCCTTCCCACAGTGAGTGGCATGGGCCAACCACCCCAGCGAGGGAGGACGCCTCGCCTCAACCCACCATTGGAGACAAGCTTAACTCTCCAAAAGCTGCGGGAGTCATGAGTTACCCAGGGAGGGGATTTCCCCAGAGATGGAGGGGCCCTCCAAACTGCAGGCGATCAATGGGAAGCCTCTGATGGGAGGGGATGATTCGCCCTTGGACACAGAGGGGAGTCTAGGATACCTGTTCAGGATGGTTTCCTGGTTATGGGTGCCTCCTAGCTAAGTAACCTAGGAGAAGGTAATAATGTTTTGTTATGTAACAGGCTTCTTCTCTGGATGCCATTTCTTATTTGGGCAGAGCTGCTGTGCCACTGGTGTGGTCTGTTTCCTTACACTGTTGGGATTCTTACTGAAAACACGACATCCTTATTTTTATATCAGGAGCGGATTGTAAGCTGTTTTATATCTGAGACAGCTGCTGATGCAGTACAGCCACTCTA